GTGGTCTTTTTGATGGAGCTAACCTTCCTTTGCGTTGCATACAAAGGAAAACCCCGAAATCCTAGCATGCTTAGCTCGACAGCAAGGGGATTCCAGCCTATGATTCGTCTATCACTGAGGATACTTTATATCAGCATTGTGGTCGCTGCGAGCTGGAAGCATAATTCGCATCAACCAGTCACCGCTGGGATTTAATACTGGGTCATCTCATTGGAAGGAGAACGCTCTATCACCTGAGCCACTACGGCTCACTTTTTATATATTGAAAAATTCGATCAAAAATCTTTTCTTTCACTCAAATCAGTAATTTTTTTTTCAGTGAAAATTTTACACCATTTACCCCTATCGCGTATATGGCGTTGGTTAGAACGGAACTAAACTTAACAGTCATAAATAGCTGTTACTCATTCGCAACAGTTATAAAAATTTCGTTACAAACTCTCTTCCCCGTGAATGTAATAAATTATTAAGGTTCGGGTGATAATTAGCAAATTAACTCCACTACAATTGGGGGCTCTATTGTGAGACAGTAAAGAACTAAGAAAGAAATTGGAAAATTAAATGATATTGTAACAAATATTGAATAATATGTACTGAATAGTCTATCGTTTTAGCTAACGCTTTAATTGTAGATAGTCATACTAAGAGAATACTAAACTTATGTTTCATATTTTTCCCTTGAAAATCCAAGAATTTATTATAAATTAACAAGTTTTGCTACCACATTTCTTATTTTTTTCACTGTCCATCTTTAAATCATTAGACCTATAGTTAATCGCTGACTCCTAAAATACTCTTTAAATGTAATCAAAATTGTGACTATTTATTTACTAATCAAAAATAAAAGTAATTTAATATTCGAAATGTTGTTGTCGTCAGCCATTGCAGGGGGGTAGCACTGTTCTTGTTTTATAGTGACGCTATCCGTGACTAAGAATATGACTTCTGCCACACCCATACGTCACACCTCCCATTCACTCACCCATTCATTCATCCACAGATCATAATTTTGATTTGACCCAGGGAACGATCAAACTCCAATTCAGTGCCCCCAGAGGTACAATTTGTTATGGGAACATGGAGGACTTTGTGACCCGACAAATTTAACGTGCATCAGTCACCATTTACTACACGAGGAGTCTGCGGCCGGCTGGATTCGATCTCCCATTCTCACGAACATGAGTCCAGCGCCCTGTCAACCAGACTACCCCAGCCATTATTTGAAATGTTTATTTGTAATAAAATACATTTTCGTCTAACTGTCATATACATCAGTTATCCTATAAGAAACACTTAATTTTCTAAATTTAAAAAAATTATAATAATAATAATTTCATTCTTATTACAGTATGGCAAATATTATGCTGTTGTTTCAGATTATTATTATTATCATTATTATTGCAGTATTAAATGTAGCATTCACAGACAATTCATTTACTTCATAATAATAACATTTTCCATACTGTTTTTTTTTCCGAAGTGGTAAGGGAAATAAATTAAATCTCTTTGTTTTTGTTTAAAAAAAGAAAGAAAGAAAACTCGTAATCATCTAATCATCATCTTATTACTGCAACAAGAGCTTATTACTGTGCCACATTTGGTCAGCGTTTTTTTTTCTTTTTTAATTAACTGTTATGACCTATTAAGGCAGTTTGAAATTTCCACTTTATATAGCTGGCATTAATGATGCTGTTGTAATTATTACTAAGAATATTTTTTAAAAATTGTTTGTGTTAAAAAAATATATTACAGAAAAAATGCTTTTGTACTTAAATGTTGTCTTTAAATTGAAATTGTGAAATAAAGATTTGTCTTCCCTGTTTAAATTGTTACATATGATTTATTTGAAACGATGCTGACATCATACTAGCTCTACAAACATTTAAATTATGCACATTAACGGAGTTTTAATTACTTATAACTAATCTAAAAGTGCATGCATGTAAAGCATACCATAAATGTATGTTTTAATGTCCCATTGCTAGAAGTTAACAAATATTCAGCAACAAATAACTAATACACATAAAATAATACAATCCAAATTATAATCTATCATTACTTTTATTTATTTTACTTTTGTACATATACATGAATGAATCTTAAATTTATATCACATAAGAATAAAATTCCCATAGCACTCCATGTCTTTTTATATTTAGATTGCTTTGACTAGGCTATACACAATCAACATTTTTCTTGTAATTCATGGAATGTAACGAGAATATTGATGCGCATGCGCACTCACCGTAAAAGGACGTTTTGCTGAAAAATGTTAACACTAATATTCACATACTACAGAAGAATTCAAAATTGAGTATTTATTTTGATTGCACTTGAAATTTCAAAATAAAAAATTTGAAGAAAGCTACTATTTTATTGAAAACATGATTGGTATAAAAATTCAATTCAAATATCAATAAAGAAGATGTATGTAAATTTTAATAATAAGATTAATAAAAATTATATCACTTTAAACAACAATGTAAAAAAAAGTAGTTTATTGCTAATTTGGTGCTAAAATTTTTTGTTTATAATTATTTGGTGTTAAAATTTTCTGTTCATAATTATTTGGTGTCAAAAATTTTTGTTTATAATTATTTGGTGCTAAAATTTTTTGTTTTGTTTATAATTTTTTGTTTTGCGCTAATTTGGTGTTGAAAGTTTTGGTGTTTAAATTAAATACGACTTTGCTCGAGGTCATCGTCTGAAATCAAAATTCATAATTTCATTTTCATGTCAAATTTATATTTTGGTATGATTTTAAAATCGAATAAAATATCAACGCTGCACTTTACTATGAATGTTAATTTGATAAAAAATACTTCTTGCTAATTTTCTAATTGTTTAAATGACTAATTATCATTGAAAATGAATTTTGAATGATAATTGAAAAATTTTCGATGACAATTCCATCCAAAAAAAAAATTGTGATAAAAACTCTCAAATAACAAGGTTTGTCCAATTCGATTTTAATATTTAATATTTTGACTCAAAATTTAAGCTAAATAGTAGTGAACTGAATATCATTAATATTTAGCAAAATCTAACTTTTATCAAATTTTTATCTTAGTATTATTTTTAAATTGAACGAAATATCATTTCTAAACATTGCTATGAATTGGCAAGAAAGCTGTTTGCTAATTTTCAATGATAATTAAAAAGTTTTAAATGACAATTACATCGGGAAAAAAAGTAATCAAAACTCTCAAATAATTAGGTTTGCTCAAATAATTTTTAACATTATGTTCATATTTAATAATTATTTAAATTTATTATTATACAATTTATATATAATTCAGGCTAAATAATAATAAGCCTAATCTCATTAATATTTAGCAAAATCGTGCTGTTAATTGGTTTGCTGTTATGGTGATATTGATTAAACCTTAAACAATTGGCTCTTAAATATTAAATATTAATAAGGCTTTTATGACAAGCTTTTTCTCTTTCATCTATGTAAAGAAGTACACATTTTATACTTTGTAGATAACTTTACAATTAAGTAGTTATGGTAAATTTATACTTATTTAATGGCGTGAATTTTATTTTTACAAAGTAAATTCTAAGGCTAATTAAAACTTACTACAAAAAACTATAGGAACGTTTTACTTTAATAAAGTTTTAAATAAAATACATAAATTCTAGATTCAGTTCAATAGGGATTATATAATAGGGGAAAAAAATAAAATATCAGAATCGTAATTTAAAATAACCGCAAAGAAATTATTACAATTTCAAATAATATTTTTTTTTAAATAATAGCACACCTACTTTGCTACATTCTTCGCAATATTGAATAAACATTATCTGCAAAGAAACCAGAACTTCTTTTCAAAATTGGATAAGAAAAGAATTCCAATCTTCAATACACACTAGGTGTATATCTATAATGCTCCCCAAATAGCTGCAAACTTTAATAATCCGATAGGTTGTGCGTGCGAAAATATTTATTGTAAAGAACTGCACCTAAAGTGAAATTGCTTGAACATAAGAGCGTGTTAAATTCACTCTTTCTTTTTAAAGAATTTAGGTTACAACTTCGGGTATAAATATCCGAAAACGGAGGTTTAATATGTCATATTGATATTGTTAGAGCATACGACACTATTGATTTTTTGTTTTCTTCTAACATGAACTATAAGTTTTTCTGAGGAAGATTCTAGTAAAAATTAAATTATCTTTAAAGTAGAAAAATGTTAGCAAGATATTGGAAAAAAAATGATATTCACAAAAAAAAAACAAAAAAAATCACAATTTAAAAATAATTACTATAGTTCTACACTATTACTTGTGACGATTTATGTTTCTATTGTACATAAAATTTCAATTTTTATTTGAAACTTTTTAAATATATTTTGCTAAGTTTGTGGGATACATTCTATTCGTATTCCTGTATAAAATTTTTTAATTAAGTGCAAGTAGTATACCAGCTATATTTCCCCATATTTGCTAATTTTCCTCTAATTTACTGCAGAAATCTTTTTTTCCATTTATATTAAAAATTACTATTACCTTTCTTGCTTATTCAGGTTACATTAAAAATATTTATAGAAAAAAAATTTATTAACCGGCTGAGCGCTTAACGAGCAAATGAAAACTGTCGCAACAGAAATTTTTTTTGTTAGTAAATAATCCTAAGTTTCACTATTTCTTGCTATTATTTCTTGATAATATTGATTTAGCGATAATTGTCTACAACCATGAACTATTATTAATAAGAGAAAAAATTTCCGATTACGTAATTTCAAAAATTCTGCGCATGATGCTGTACTTATAAATCAAAAATTTCAGATGATTTATTTTATTTAAAGTACTGTAAGCATATATTATTTCATCAATTAATTTCCAGAATTTTTATCAATTAATTCTTCCTTTAATTTTCATCAATTATTTCTTTTCTTAAATTTTTATCAAATAATTCTTAGATCAATTAATTTTTTTTTAATTTCATCAATTAATTTTCATATTAATAATTTTTTTCAATTTTTATCATTTAGTTCTCAGATCAGTTCATTCTAAGATTAATTCCTTATTTTTTAAATATTCATGAATTAATTCTCAGATAAATTATTTCTATTAAATAATACTCCTAAAATGTAAAAGAAGAGATGCATGAAAAAGTAATTATTATTGTACATTGGACCATAATACCGAGTAAATTTACAAATTTGCTGCTATTTGACATTCTGAAAAGCATAAATGCATATTTGATGCAAGCATATTTGATGCTTTGTTGACGCGTTGCTTGACAAGATAACATATCTTAAACTTGATTATACGATTTTAGAGTTTCATTTGAACGATTTAGTAAATTCATATGATTTTGTTCATATCATTTGATGGTTTATTCGGTCCAATTTAAATTCTTATTAATGTTACAGTAAATTATCAATATTATTAAAAAATCTTTTATTAATATTTTTGTTGTTTAATAAATGCTAAATTGAACCATTCTTAACTTACAGATCCTATCACCTTGCAGCAAATCTAATTAATAATAAGCTTAAAAAAACTAAATTTTTGGTTCAACTATGCAGTGATATTTACTTAAAGTGAGTCAGTGTCTAGTTTCGTTAGATCATGCAGGTAAAGAAAAAAAAAGGGGGATAAAATTATTTATGAATGAGTTTTTCTAATTATTCACAACCTTCAACCAACCGAATATTACTTTAAGTAAACTTGGTTTTAAATAAAAATAGCTAAAACCACGAAGATTCTTATCCAAACTAAAAAAAAATTCTGGAATTCATTAGAATTTCATTATATTTGAATATGTTTCATAGGTCCATTTGATCGATGGTTCATGTGGTTCAATTTGAATACTTATTAACGTTACAGCAAATTGTCAATATTATTACAAAACCATATGCGGCTATTTCTTTTTTGTTGTTGTTGTTGTTTGTTTAATAAATGCTAAATTAATCTATTGTTGATCTGCAGATCCTTTTATTTTGCATCAAATCTGAGTGATAATATGCTTCAAAATGCTAAATTTATTGTTCAACTCCGCAGTGATTTTTACTAAGTCAGCAGAGAGTTTTGTGAAATGGACCAAGTTTAGGGAGAGAAAAAAAAAGTAACATAATTTTAACAGTTTCCTAAATGATCACAACCTTCAACCGAATATTATTTAAAATAAACTTAATTTTAAATTACAATAACATTCTAATCCAAACTAAAAAAAGAAAAAAAGTAATAAATATTTAAATTAAAAAGAAGATAAACGACATTTAAGTTTCAATTGCGCAACAATCCCTATTATATTTTAGACATTATTATATTAATAGGTATAATCAGCAATAGTCCACATTTTAGACAATATAAGAACTGATTCAGAAATAAATATATTAAAAATACTCTAAAAACATCATCACCAGTATGTAAAAGTCGATTAATCAACAGCCCGTAACTGTATCCCCGTTACAACAATAGAATTTTCATAAGTAGTTCGATAAAAAGGGGGGCGTTTCACTGTATTTTGGCATGACCAAACTAGGCTGTGTAACTAGAGAGTTTCTATAGGGCAAGAGTCCTTCACTGGTCACTATCACGCACATCGGGTTTGCAGCCCCATTACCGGCGGTGGTCACTGCGTTGGTCACTTGATGATGGGCAGCCAACGCACTCGTCCCCCCGCCGGGGGTTTGTTGTCATAACGACTGATGGTAGTCTCCACCCCCAGTTGTTAGGCCTAAACTTAGATCGTTGAGGTGGTTGGAGATGAGATTGTTCGGCAGAGCCACCGATAGGTCTCCCATTGGACCAAAGCGGAAACCAGCCGCTGCTGCTGCCGCTAAAGCCGCGGCCGAATGTCCTCCACCCGCTGTTGGGCCGATGCCGGCTCCTGACGTCGGCCCTGCGGTGACAAATGCTGGATGCGTGGGACTGAGTTTAGTGATTTCAGACCCTCCACTTCCAAACATGCCATTTGAGCTATCACTACTACAGCATCCGAGGGGAGCATTGTCCGAATCCAGATTTAAAGAGTGATGTTGACCACTGTGGTGATTATCAGATGAGCTCGGGCGGCGGTCGTTTTTGCTGTCTGATGGACTGCTTGCGTCTTGCTTTGTGCTACCAGTTGAATTTGGAGTCTTTGGTTTATCTCCTGGTTCCCTAAACAAAAAGAATTAATATTTTAGATTATTTGAAACAAATTATCAACTTTAACAGTTGCGTAAATTAAAAATGTATATAATATTTATGTAAATTTTTTATATATATATAGATATCATTCCATTTTTTGTAGATTTTAAAACACAAATTTATTAGGAGATAACTTCATTAATACGAGGTAATAAAATATTTAAGCATCGGCGTTTCTGAACGATCACCCTTAATATTTGATACGATCGATCACCATTAATATACATTACTCTCAATCACCCTTATTATATATTTAATTCCGATATTATTGATCGATCTTAATTTTAGCATACATTCAATGTGTTTCAAATTGATATTTAATCAAAGAAAAAAAAAATGCAATCGCAATTTACCGAATCAGTAGTGAGGTTGTTAGGCTAAATAACGTCAACTTGATTACATTATACTATTTATGTACAGTAAGCAACGAAAAAAAGAAGATATCAACCTGAATAACTTTTGTTCTGATGATCGGATTTTCACGAGTCTATCTCATTCATGTTAATTAATTAGAGTTGATTAAGTAAGTTAAGGAATCTTATCCACAAATTTCTCTAATATTTTTTGTTTGGTTCTGTTTTAACTTAATTAATAGCTAACACTAATTATTTAACATGGATAAAGTTGATCCTATGAACCATTAATTATCGAGAACCAGATTGCTTGTCAGTGTGTGAAGATCAACTCATTGGAGCAAAAGTTATGCAAAGTAAGTTTTTTATTTATTAATTAATTATTTTTCTCACTGTTTCAATGTGCAAGAAAATTTTTTTTAAGGCAATTAACTACTGATNTAACACTAATTATTTAACATGGATAAAGTTGATCCTATGAACCATTAATTATCGAGAACCAGATTGCTTGTCAGTGTGTGAAGATCAACTCATTGGAGCAAAAGTTATGCAAAGTAAGTTTTTTATTTATTAATTAATTATTTTTCCCACTGTTTCAATGTGCAAGAAAAAATTTTTTAAGGCAATTAACTACTGATTTTAAGATCAATTTTTTCTTTTGGTGAAATTCAGAATTCATTCCAAAATAATATGTTATTTTAAAGAACAAAAGAAAAAACATTATTGCAGATTATATAAATATTTTTCGAAGCATGCACAATAAAAAAAAGTAACTACTACGTTAAATTATTTAATATACTGCTATTTAATAAACAAATTTTTTTTATTTTTCTTTATTAGTCTGCAAACTACTGATTGAAAGATCAATTCGCCCGTTTGGTGGCGCTTCAGAGCAGATTCCCTTATCTAAATTTGCCATATATTAGTGAATATTTTAAATAAAAAATATTATTTGAAAAATTATACTCATAACAACTAATCGCAACATGTACAATGAACAACTATAAAAAGTTTTTTGTAATAATTACTCCATTTTTATAAAAAAGAAAAAAAAAGGAAAATACATTCATTTTTCCAGCACTAGTATGAAATCACTTTAACATAAAACAAACTACCCCCTCACCACCCCCTTAAAAAAAGGTAGAAAAGGAGCGAAATTGTCAAAAACAACTTTATTTAGCATGAAACTAATTACATTACACATTTTTGTTTTGCTTTCTATTATTAAACTATAAAATTAATAAATAAACAAATAAAAATAAATTTTAAAAAAAATGCACCGAATTTACCCAGTTGTAATAAATTTATGCATAGTTGACAAAATAATCTTAATTTGGTTAGATATAGTCATCCATCAATATTCAGAAATTAACACTAAAATACGGTTTTGTATATGAATAAAATTTGGTAAGAATGGTAAAATTCGGAAATTTTATTATGATACATTAAAACATGACATTAAAACCCTTTATTGAGTTTAATTTAGTTTTCAATTCTGAAATTTAGCTAAATTAATAAATCAAAATAATCTTAAACTACATTTAAATCAAGTATATATTTTCGCATAAATGAAAATGAAATGAGATTATGAGAACTTGGAATGGAATTATAAAAACTTAAAATGGAATTACAAAAATTGCAATTTCGATGTACTAGTTCTGGATGTATCATATATAAATTTAAGTTAAACTATAGTTAAGTTTATTAAGTAGAGTATATTAAATCTAAGTTAATTTAATGTCACATTATGTGGAAAAGTTTTCCAACAATGGAGCAGATGTAAAGAAAAAAGTCGTTTACATTTTCACATAACTGACAACAAAGTAAGTTAAAAATCATTATAATTAAAATAAAATAAAAAACTGAATTTGAGGGGATGTGATTATGTGTTTAGAATAAAAGTTAAATGAGTTAAATTATCGTCAACATTCTCGTACTGATGAGTGAAGTTAACCTTCCAAAAAAGAAGATGTAAAAGAAAAGAGACGCAAACATCAAACCAGAACCATTGTGCATTGCTATCCCAATAATATATCATAGACATACAAAAGATTTCTGTTTCTTGGGGAGTAATTCAAAGATCATAGAGCTCAAAATGTCTCTAGAATCTATGAATTATCAATCGGCGTGACAAACCAAAAAAAAAAGTATAGATTTTCCATTTGACATCTATGTAGTGAATTTTGATGATCTCACTTTCTAAAGCCTGATTCTTCGACAAAGGGAAAAACATACCAATTTACATTTGTTTTCCGAACAAATAATAAATTAAATAAGATAAAATATAATTTTCTAACATATTTAAGAAATCAGTTTCATTGAGATGCTAAGATCACTAAAATTTTACTGTACTTTTTTAATACAAAATAATGAAAGGAACTTTTTAAATGAATTCAAACTGAAATCCAGATTTTATTTTAGATTCATTTAAGTGGTTAAAATCTTACATACGCGTCATAAAATATTTTATTTTGTATATTATAACCGTCGTTGAACAGCCGACCCAATTTGGGTACACGACAACTAATGTTCAACTCCTTAGCCTTGTAATTTTGAACCAATCCAGAAGACAAGGGGACTCCTGGATCAGTACCCCCAGAGGTTTGATTTGTTATGGGAACGTGGAGGACTTTGTGACTCGAAAGATTTAACGTGCATCTGTCATCATTTACGACACGGGGAGTCTTCGGCCGGTGGGAATCGAACCCACGACTTCTTAGACAATCATAAAATATTATTAGTTTAACATCAGTGCAGTTATATTTTTGAAGGTTTGCTCTCTGAACCTAGGCATCCCTGAAAAAAAAAACCATTGCCTTGAAACATAAAGCGTCTGAGAATGACTAATGTAAGTGCTAAGCACTTAAAATTTACATTCGAATTCTGAACAAATAAAAATCGTTGATTACTCAATATTAATTTACACGATATAATTGTTTCTACTGACATCTTAGGATACTGAGCTGATCTTATAAACTTTCAAATATGTGAGACAAAAATTATTTTCCTTCATGCTAATTAACTTAACAAGGCATGAAAATTGAAAAGTTACAAAATTTCAAAATAAGAAAGGAAGGAAAAAGGAAAGCAATATGCGAATTCCGCTAACCAATAAACAAAAATGTAATCTACACTGCAAATATTTTAGTGTATGTATCCAAATTTTTTATTTACTTTTTTACAGTTTAACTTTATTAATTTCTTTCTTTTTTCTTTTTTTCTTTTTTTATACTGACAACTTTTTACTGAAATTTCGGCTGAAATGATTCAAGCTTTTATCAACATAACTATTGTTTTCCTATGCCTTATAAATCAGTTCAAAAATTTTAGAGTGAGTTTTCGAAGACAGTGACTTCAACTGGTTCATACCCTACTTATACAACTCAATCCTTACATAATATAAAAAATTATGAAAATTTTTGAAGTAAATATTATCGTATAATATAATCTCTAGAATATTAACCAACTTTTCCAGTGAATTAAACAGGAAAAGAAGTCAATATTAATGACCATAAGAGACCATAATACTTTTTGTTTCCGACGTCATGACAACTTTTACTAAAAAAATTTATATGATTTTATAATCCCCTTAAACTGTGCGGAAGGATAGAAGAATGGTTAATGCGTTAACTTATTTAACCATTCTTCCAGGTACCAGGTTTGAACCCCGGTGATAACTGCGTGATTAAATTTTTAGTCGAACCCCGTTGTACTGAACTGTCAGTGGACCCAATAATAAGTACACTATAAACAGTAGTTCCCTACATCCTGATACTTTGAAAAATTATTTTTTTATCACATGACAAAAATATTATTGGAAACAATAATTGCGATAGCACTTAATTTGTTTATAAATTATTAGCTGATTAAATATATAAAAAATTAAATGTTGGATAGAAAAAGTATTAAATTAATTTTACATTTTAAGGAAGAGATTATTGCTTTTCGATTGACTATTATTCGATTTTAAATCGAGTTTACCAACCAACAATTAGTTAATCTCTTCACCTTATTTTTTCCATTGAAAAAAAAAAAAATCAGAAATTTTAATGCCGATTGCGCTTTCAAGATTAAAGTTGTTGAAATTTCTTGTCCTTCCTCAGCATGGGGGAAGGGAGGTTAAGACGACTGTTCTACTTAACAACTTGTTCGCCTTAGTTTAAAAATGATGAGCGCGCAAGAAAAGATTTGACATAATTTAAACAAATGCCATTATTTGCATTTTAAAGTCTGAAAAAAAAACTGAGAAAATGTTATTAGAGTCCACTGTAAAAGAACTATCAATTTTTCAGCTGCCCACTATAATATACAAAACATTAGTTAAATGAGAGTTCAGAAGGAATCACTAAATAAGTTTGCTACAAGCGATTGTTCATTATATACCAAGTTCAATATAACGGGCTTCGACTTAAAAAGAACTGACATCTTGAGTGCTGGCATTTATTAGCGTAAATTCACAGGAATATTCTTTAAAAGACTGTTTATTCACATGAATTTTGAATTTAGTTTTAAACTTTGCTATTTTGGAATTGGCAACGATTTCAAAAACGACATTTTTAGGCATCATTTTACAACTCTTCATTTAATGTCCACTCAGAAAGGAAAATTACTGACAAC